TTGTCTTATAACCAATTTATAAGCTAACACAAACATCTTAATTAATTACCATCCAACAATAATTAAGTAATAGTTTTCCTAAGTCCATCTTTATAATTCAACATTATGTCCATTTTTTTAGTATGTTGAGAATCTTGTAGGATATGATGCTTTGTGGTGGCTCTGAAGCTCCAATTATACCTATAGGTATGGTCTTATTTCTCTTACAAGTCTCATCGAGCATTGAAATCAAGATAGAAACAATAAATCCACAACCATTCATGCAGGAGTTGGGGGTTTTGTGGCATGCAAAGCTCTAAGTGAGAGGAACAGTGATCCTACCAAAGCTTCACGTCCATGGGATTCGGTTCATATATATATTATTTTCCGTACTTAATTCTTTTGTTACCTAGCTAGATTCTTTGAAAGTACCTTTACATAATGATCAGGGTCGTGATGGATTTGTTATGGGAGAAGGAGCTGGAGTTCTGTTGGTTGAAGAACTTCAACATGCTAAGGTATGTTGATGACAGTTACTATACCAAGAACCGAAAAGCTGGTCATATGCTAATTAATGGCGATTAGTTTTCCTATTTGATCATATACATATATCTTAACAGAAAAGAGGTGCTAATATCTACGCAGAAATTTTGGGCGGAAGCTTTAGTTCTGATGCTTATCATATGACAAACCCTCACCCTGAAGGTATAATCTAATTCATGACATGTTAGGCGGATATACCTCCTGTTTGATCCTATATCATAATTAATAACTATTATATATGGTGAATTTTACATAACAATATTAGGTGCTGGTGTTATATTATGCATGGAAAAGGCTTTATCTCAATCAAGGGTATCCAGGGAAGATGTGAACTACATAAACGCACATGCTACATCGACACCAGCTGGAGACATCAAGGAATATCTTGCTATAACTCATTGTTTTGGCCAAAACCAAGAGGTGAATTAAAGGATACGTTAATTACTATCTTATCCTTAATTACCAAAGCTAATTGCATGCATTAATTGAATATGTCATGAAATTTAATTCTACAGTTAAGGGTGAACTCGACAAAATCCATGATAGGTCACCTTCTAGGAGCAGCAGGTGCCGTGGAAGCCGTTGCAACGATACAAGTAATGCAAGGAAGCAATTTTTGGTTTCATTTTCTTGAATCGTACTCTTTTTTATATTCATTTTTGGAATGTGGATATATGTAGGCCATACGAACAGGTTGGGTGCATCCAAATGTTAACCTTGATGATCCAGATAAAGATGTGGTATATATAATATATATATAAGCTCATATA